TGTCGTAATACATATTTAGTGTGCTTCTTAACATCATTTAAGTTAACTTAAATGCAAGTCACTTAACCATTTTGGGCATTATTAATTGTTTCATGCTTTCGAGGAGTCTCACATGTTATGTCATCCTATTATAACTTTTCTAGGTGCTTAAAACATGTATTTAAGGCATAAATCATACTTTAACAAACTTAAACATACTTAGTAATAAGGCACAACATGTAATCCAACATCAAGCTCATCATTTCATTATTCATTCAAGAGTCAAAAAATACTATAAGTCATTATAGGTCACTTATACAGTAGAAAGGGTCACAAGAACAAATCAACTTAAAGCTCAATTAAGGATCCCATATTGCCTTAAAATAAAACCAATGTTCAAAATAACTTTAAAAAAACTCCCTTGCTTTGATCACCACCAAGTGCCTTGTCCCACGAGCTCTCAAGTCGAAAAGTAAAAATCTTAAAAGTGTTAAACACTGAGTGTGAGCTATAAAGCCTAGTGAATGACTAACCATTAAAATATGATGTACATGCCAAGGCTAAAGGAAAGCATACCTAAATGCCTTGCAACCTTACTTGTTTTTACCTCAATGATCATACCTTAATTTCATAATGTTCACTTAATTCATCATAAATGCACACAAAATCCATATTATGATCATGTTTTCCATAATCATATACCTTGTAGCAAAACACATGCACAATTACCTTTTTGGCAAAGTCACATATTCCACATATATTGTTTCAATTAAAGATCAATGGCCTTTGTTCAACACTTATTACAAACTCCATACAACTCTCATTTATTTCCGAACTCACATAGGTCCAAAAAATCACGAAATTACGGAGCAAACCTCAACGCCCAACCTTACCCTGTATCTTCTCGGAGCATAGCTCAACGTACCAACTGAACCTCGTATAACCCGATAACACGCTATATAAAACACATAGAGTACTCTTTCCTAGGTATGCCTTTCATATCCAAAGGTCCCATTAAGAACAAATATCCAATTAATATGATTCACCAAGAGCAGTTTTCAATGATGCATAGTTTCCACATATTGGTTGAAATACATTTTGAAACACACTTACGGATAGTTGTCATGATCACCGACATATATGGACAGGGAGAAAGTTCAGCTTGTCCAATCACATATTCACATTATACACTTTCGCTTTAAGCACATATAGGAATTGGTGATCATGATCAACTCACATATTCATAATATATATAGATTTTTTCAGAAATCGCTTTCAAAATCCTATGCATTATTTGCAACACAACACAATCACATTCCATAATTATGATATATGAGGCATCATACACAATTCGACATAATTCACATTTCATATCAATTGCACATTTCCAATTCACATCCCATGAATCACAATCTTTCAATATACCATAACTCATAGTCACCATGTCATAACATATATACACTAACAACAATCACATGCTTCCATTACCTCATAGCTCATATTAGACATGATTAAATTCTCATGCTTTCATATAACGCTTGTTTCCAATGCATCTTGATTCATAGTTAATACATCACAACTCATTTGATTATCTTAATCATGTTCTTTCAATATACTCTTAACTCATAATCAGCATAGTTTACTACACATGCTCATAATGACCGTTCACTTACGATGTTCCATAAACCATGTCACAAGATATATGCTCATGTTGTTCACATACTCTAGTATATACATCATGAATCCACTCAATCAATTATCAATAGCAGGTATACAAAATTTAGAACCTAAAAATTCAGAGTTCACACATAATTAAACATTCATTCAACATTGAACAAGTTCATCATAAGTGAATGGATAATCACTCACCTCAATGGTGCAACCACATCATTCGACCCCAAACGCTAACCAAATTATCACAAAAAATTAATGAACCATTTTTCCCCAAACATACACACCTTAGGCAATTCAGCATGTCACAAAAATATCTAAAATAGAGCGGAAAATTATGCTTCTAAAACAAACAAAAATCAACCAAAAGATCGATAAATCTTACCGAAATAACTCTACAAGACTCTGATCCAATCGACACTACTTTTTCCCAAAAAGACTGATCAAGAAAAACTAATATCATCATCTAAACTCATCTAGAAACCCCTCAATTGACATCAATTAACTCTAATTCTCGGATTTCTAAAAATGTCAAAATCAAGCTTGTTTTGAAGAATTCTTTATCCAAATCAAATGAGATTGAAAAACTGATTTAGTATGATAATATCATCAACAAAAAAACATTAATCAACCCAAGAAAACCTTGAAAAGTGATCAAGAAAAATAGGACATTAAATAACTCCGAAAATCACTTTTAATTCACAACTTCTCTTTAAAACAGTTGTTCAATCGAAATCATCAATCACATTTAATCATTAATCATTGAAGCACAAAAAAAAAAACAAGGAATGAGCATTACCTTTCTGGAAAGAAAGAAAGAGAAGATCAACAATGGCAACACCAACGAGATCAAGGAAAATAGGCAAAGAAGAAAATGAGAAGAAACAATCTTGATTGAATAGAGAAAATCTATAAAAAATGAGTAAAACCCAATAACAAATGAATAGAAAATGAGAAGAAGAGTTTCAACCATTAAAGAAAACTTGAGAGAGTTTTGGGAGAAAAAATACAAGGGTGTTTGGATAAGAGAAAATGAAAGGAACGGTTAATGAAAACTAGAAATGAAAATAAGCAAAGATTAAAAGAATGAATCAAGATGAAAAATTGGCAAAAGAGAGAAGAATGATACGGTTAAGAAAAGAGGAAAAAAACCCATCCACACAAGCCTTGGTAAAATAAGCTTCATAGAATTTCGATTTGTGATCTTTTACAATTTAGTCATCAAAAACACAATTTCCAATTTATTCAATTTTTTCTCCTTGTAAAATCAAATTATAGATTCCAAAAAATAAATATCAATAATTCAACCCCTTCAAATCATTTTAGAAAATATTTATCAATTAAAAATATAGATACTAATATTTTTACCGAAAATCCAAAAATTGCCCGACGACCTACCCAAAATTATCAACCCAAATTTTGGGATGTTACACTATCCATTAACGGGCCAAAATATATAACTTTTAAAAGTTAAAATTTTAGTCCTTAAGCTTTTACAAAGTTTAGGTTTTGGCCATCAAACTTTTAAAACTTACATTTTAGTCACTAACAAAAACTTGGGGTGTTACAGTAGCTCTCCAAAAAAGAGAGTATGGACTTTTCGATGAAATAAAAATGTTAAGAAAAATTACTATAGATTTAAACAATTGGTTACGGCAGATGAGTGAGAAATTAAACTTTTCATTTATTATAAGTGATTTAGCATAAAATGCTTTATATTTTATTTGATTATTTCAGGTATCTTGATTTAGAAATGACTTTGGTTTAAGTTCATTTTATATGTTCCTATAATAGCATATGATATATTTTGTATTTTCATTATATGATTTATTTTATATCATTGATATGTTTTATTTTGTATTTTTATTATGTCTCACTAAGTATATACTTAGCGTGTGAAGATTTTTCATGTGTAGATAAAAAGCAAAGATCGAAGTAGGGAGTGTTGGGCATCTTATCTATCGAGAAGCACACTTTTAGTATCACTAACGATATCCATCTGATTTATTCAATTTTACTATTGGCATGTATATGTTATTAGTATTTGGTATAAGCTTTAATAAAACATAGGTTATATTAAGTTATAAGCTAGCTTATGCTGGTAAAAATAATTTTAAATAAACAAATTATTACCAAGTTTCAATAAGGGACGTATCATAAGTTTCATGTGACATCTCTGACTCATGTTCAGCGACGAATACAGAAAGTGTATGTTACATTTTCTATAATTAGTTGATACTTTTCCCTTTGTATCGATATTTGTTGAAAAGATCAATACTTTACAGCCTTGAATCATTTTTCATATTTTTTCAAAATTTGACAATTATGATATTTCGGGTAAAGTATTGATATTTTTACTCATTTTTCATTTTCCATGTTTTAAAATACGAAAAAAATACAGATACTTGTGTAAAAGTCTCGATGCTTACCAACAAGTTAAATTTCTCGATTACGCTATTTTAAATTATTTTAAATTTGTTTTGTTACAATTCTTTTCAGATTTTCGATTATGTCATTTTTTAATTTTATCTGAACCTGCATTTCGTTAGACATCCCAAATTTATCTCCTTTTTTTCTCTTGAAAAACCTTGTACGGCGGATCTATGTCAACTCCTCAATTTTCATGTTTTTAGCCCTAATTTTCTTTTATCGTAGTTAGCGCCGTCAAGAACATATATGTCAATTACAGAAAAACGCAGTGGTCAAAGACGTGTACTCTTCGGACTCACACACAAAAGGCCAAAATCAAACAGCGTCGGTGGTTCGCAAGGGCCAATATTATGCATTTAGGCCTTATATTATTATTCCATTTGAAGATTCAGCCTTCATATTTTAAATTTCATATAAAGTGATCCTTTTATTGTCGTCAGTATTATGCTTTATGTCAAATCATTACATGCTGCTAAACCTAGTGGTGTGAACTGTTAAGTCTTTTTCCTCCAAAAATCTTAAATTTAAAATTCTTCAATTCATTAAAAAAATAAAATTATAGTTAATATAAAAATTTACAGATAAATAATTCAGATTAATAGAAAATGATATTTATTTTTGTAAAATAAAATTTTAGAATTCATTAAGAATATCAGTGATAAAATATTATTTTTTAAGTTGTTAAATTTAAACAAATATATTTATAAGATCTGAACGTACATAATCAAATTAATAGATAAATAAATCTAATATATATATTAATTGGAAAAATGCTTTTGGGATGAATACTCATATTCATATTCTGCATTGCATTATTGCGACACTTCACCTACTTTCAGCTCCCTTTCTGTCGAATTAAAGTCCCTTTTTATCTACTTATACTCTAGCGAAGAAGCAGGGCAGCTTTCAAAGTTTTTGTAGTTTGAGTGGTAGGAAATGGAGAAAGAATCACCCACGTCCCTCTCAATTGCCGTCAATTCGCACCCAACTGCAACTCCTCTGAAGAAGAATAGCTCCTCCATAGCTGGCTTCTTGAGTAAAAGTGGGTACAAATTCTGGGTTTTGACTGCAATTCTCTTACTTGCGTTTTGGTCCATGTTTACTGGCTCCGTTTCTCTCAAATGGTCTTCTGGCAATCTGATTACATTCCCTCATGGCTCCGATTTCTCTCTTCATCAAGATCTCGACGTCCTCGTAAGTAAATCTCATGTTTCTTTATGTTTTGCTTGGTTTTTTTTTTTTCCCCTATGGTGGTTTGATTGGTTTAATAGGAATTGGAGGAAAGAGAGAAAGTGGTGAGGAAGATGTGGGATGTTTATACGCATAGCACAAGGGTTCGTTTGCCCAGGTTTTGGCTTGAAGCTTTTGAGGCTGCTTACGAGAGTTTATCAAGTGATGCTGCTGGAGTTCGAGATACTGCCATCTCTGAGATTGCTAAATTATCATTGCGATCCATAAATCTTGGTTCCCCCTCCGCTCAATCAAAGGTCAGTCTCAGTTTCTTCTCGCCAATACCTCGATTACATTCCAATTAGTCTGAAATCAAAAGAATTTGAATTGAGTAACTTGTCTGTAAATTTTTAATGGTTTAAGGCTACTTTTTCGTTTCCCCGGACATTTCCCTGTACTTAATTATGGGCAAAGTTTATTTAAGTTTCTCATATATATGTGATGGTGGTGGTATTATAATGTCCAGAGTAGTAGCACTGAAGGGAGAAAAATGAGTTCCAAAGAAGATGCTAAAAGGAATGGGAATCTGGAGTCCTAATTTGGGGATGCGATCTCCATCTCTCAAGCTGCTTCAACTTGTGAGCAATTCCCAATGGCCAGAAACGATTTGTATCCCTACAAATTTTCTATTATTATCTGAAATTGCAAAAAGGAAAATAGATGGTTCATTTAAGTGTAAGGCTCTTTGTTTATGCTGTTTTCTTGTGATCGAAGTTGGGTTTGCTATGAACTCATTAATCAAGTGTATCAGCCATGGATCTAATAGCTTCACACAAATCCTAGACCAAGTAGAAAAATAAAAGAGACACGAGTAAGATTAAAATACTAAAAAACCAATCAAAACAAATAGAATTTAAGGGTACATTTGATTTTAGGAAATGTAGCTTATTTTCATTTTCTTAAAAATTAGAAAATATTGAAGACATCATTGCTTATAAAATTCAAAAAATATTTTTAAAAATAAAATAAAATTGAGTAAAATATAAAATATTGGAGAAAACACATTTTCTTATAAAATTTAAAAAAAAATTAGTAAAATATAAAAAAATATGTTTTCAGTATTTTTTATTAAAATCATTTTAGAAATTTGAAAAACAGAAAAACATGATATCTATGTTTTTAACTTAACTTATACTAGCTCAAATTATTCTATCAACGTTTTTTACTTAATGTATCTGAAACCCTCAAACTTTTGAAAAAATAAATCAATATAATCCTTAATTTTTTTACACTCAATATGTCTTTCGTAATGTCCCTAAAAATCGAGGAATTAATTTTAGGAGTTTCGTTTCGATTAAAATTGGATTTTAAAATAAAAATGTGATTCGAGGGAGTCGACGTCAGTCTTTATTTAGGGTGTGATTGTATACCCAAAAATGTTTTGTTATTTTAATAAAATCCTAATTTTAAAATTTTATTAAAATAACTTTTTAGTATGTTTTTCCAGAAAATGAGTTCGGAGTCGATTACGTGTGGGGGAAGGGTTAACACCCCCACAACGCCAAAAAATTCCGTATTTGGTCCATTAATTATAGTTTTTTCAATGGAATTTATGGATTCAAATTTTAATTTAATTAATAATCCCTAGTTTAGTTAAATAAAAAAATGATTTAACCTATTAAAATTTAACAAAGAAAATTAATCATTCGTGCATTTAACTGAGAAAGTTAACCACCTAATATAAGATAGAATGACATCCCTTTCGTTTCCAACCAAATCAGTGAATCATTAATCTCCTTAAAACTTTTAGGTTAAATTATTATTATTCACCATTTCAAACCAAAAGGAAACACCACCTAATATAAGATAGAGTGGCAGTTTCCCATATTAAGATAGAAACAAGAAATATCATTGTATGTATTTACCTAAAGTTATGTGACAATCAAAAGTTTTATTAATGAGAATTATTGGGCCTATAAGATAGATAGAGAATATTCGAATATTTATAAATTTAAATATAAATCTCCAAATAAGGTCGAAAGGCTTATCTTCGATAAGTATAAGTATGAAACCATTTTCTTTTCTACCTTCCTCATCAATTTTAAAAGTTATCATTTTTATTTGTTTCAATAGAGGGTACTCGTTCACTTTAAATTATCAAATTAAACTACCCAAGTGGATTAGGGTAACTCGCATCGATAATTTAAATTAAATGAGCATTGCTTTTTAATTTATTATGGATACGGTTGAGTGATATGAATGAGGCTTATTATGCTTGAAAAATAATTAAAAAAACGTCATGCCATAGATGAGATAGAGTCATTTAATCCCAAATTAAATTAATTAGTGATGTTATCATTAAGGCCAAAATTGTATTTACTTATTAAAAACATATTACAAAATTAAACAATCACAAGTTCATAAAAAGCAAATAAATTTATAATTAAACATGCTTTTAATGAAATTTAACCATTATTCAAATAAATAAGTAAACATGACATAAAAATATATTTTAATAAGAATTAAAAAGTAAATAACCAAATTAAAAAAGAACATGGATTTAATTGCATTAAAAATAAAATTACAGGGGTTAAATTGTGATCTCTAGAACTTGATTTGAGTATTTAGGGAGAAAATTGTAAGGCTCTGAAAACTAAGGTGACCAAAGAAAGGATTACCCCAAGAATTAAACACACGTTCAACGAACTGGTTCACTCATTGAACCAACCACTATAAAACCCCCAAAAATCTTTTTTTTCATTTCGTCCCCCTCTTTTTCATCCTTGTTTTCCCTAAGCCTCTCATCAAAATACTCTCCCACATCCAAATTGTGGTGGCTTTCCATAAAAAAACTAAGCCAGATGAAACCTAAAAGCTATACCAAAATGTTCCCCTTTCTACCCTAAGCCCAAATCCAGTGATCAAACACATGCAATAATCACTGAAGCGTAGATCTACTAAAAAAAGGTCTTAGTTTTTTACCTTCTTCGAAGGCAGCGTTTCGTCTCTCTGATGAAGAACTCGAGCAAAAAGCTTCATTTCTCTCACTCTACTTATGTTTCTCACTGTTTTCTCTCGACTTTTCCCTGATTCACCACCGACTCCCTTTATTTTATGCAGTGGTTTATATAGCTTGAATGGGGATTTTGTTTCTATGTGCATGGGTTTAATCTAACAATCGGTGGGTTTTGTTCTTGGTTTTTTTCCTTAAAATCGAGATTGGTTTAAAAGCTTTCCCCCTTCTCTTTGATTTACATCAATTTTTATTAAAGGGGAAAACTATTCTTTTTTTCCTGTTGATTTTATGTTGGTTGCCATATTTGTATGTTGTCTGTATCTGGAAAATTTCATTTTTAATCGGCGCGTGACCCACACATGCGACCTTTGAACCGTTGGATGGTTTTTGTGGTACCATATTTGTTATGGACTTTGGATGGCTTTATCCAAATCCAACTGTCAGAGTTTGTGAGGTGCTCATGCTTTGTGACTAGGGTTATGTAAACTGTAGCATGTGGTTGATCTCTATCATCGATCAATCTCTTTATATGACAGTGCTCATATATGGTGCCCTTGCTAACTCTGGAAACCCTAGCTCGCTGGGTCAGACGAGCGGGATTCCTTAATGGGCCTCTAGGCCTGCTTCGTGTTTTTATTTTGGACTTCCCTAATCTATTGGTCAGACGAATCAGACCATTTGTATTGGACCTTGACTTGTTAGACCCTAAACTAGAATTTTAAACTTTGGACATTATTTTAGACCTGAAAAATAAGATAAACAAAAAAATAACATTAATAATTAATATTATGTGCACTATATGTTTTTAAATATATATATATTGAACCTATATATTATATATGTATTTAAAAGATATATTTTTTCAAAACTATATTATATATACTTTCAAAACTATATGTATTTTAAAAAACTATATATGTTTTCAAAATCATATATATTCTTTTCAAAAACACACTATATATATTTCAAAAGTATATTATATTATAAATAATATTTTAAAATACATATATATTTTCAAAATATACTAAATAATATACTATATAATGAACCCGGACGAAAATATGTGTCTACAGCTGCCCCTCTTTGTCCGTTGTCGTGCAACAAGAATATGAGAAGATAAAGATAAACAAATTTTCATCAGCTAAATCTAACAAGATGAGTTTTGAAGGTAATCTTGTGATGTTATTACGTGTTGAAATTATCTTCTTGGACTGTGAATGATTCGTCTAGAAACTAGTTCTTCACTACTGGACTGCAAGCGATTTGGTAATGCTTTTGAACCCAATTCGCTTTGTCGTGAATTTGAAACTAGTTTCTGAACTTTGGTTGGAAATTGGCTCATTACCGCCGAGTTAAGCCAAATCGCAAACAATTTGAAATATGTTTTTGGATCAAGCATCCTTTATCGTGAAGTTGAAACTTGACCTTGAAGACTTTAACTGAAGACTAGTTCCTTTCCATTAGACTACAATTTATTCTAAATAGATTTTCGAACCCAATATCCTCTGTCGCGAAGTTGAAATTGACATTAAAATTTTTGACATGAAGATAGTTCCTCGTTGTTGTCATGCAGACAAAGTTCTCTCGAGGTGAGTATCCTCTTCGTGAAGTTGAAACTGAACTTGAAAGCTTTGGTTGACAGATAGTTCTTCTCGACTTAATCTATGTTATGGGTAACCCCTATAGTGCGAGTTTGGTCTTGTGCGATTTTAGCTCGATATCCTTCACCACGAAGTTTAAATCTTTGCCCGAAATCTGAACTATGAAGTAGTTTCCCTATGCTAAATGGCAGTTAATTTGGGTCTTCTTCTAGAATTAAATACTTGGGTTTGAATTTTGACAGGAAGATAGTTCCTCATTGCTATCATACGGTCAATGTGCTCTTAAGTTGAGTATCATTCATTTTGAAGTCAAAACTAAACTTGAAAGCTTTGGTTGACAAATAGCTCTTCTCGACTTAAGCTATGTTGTAAATGATTCCTCTAGGTGAAGGATTATTTGGATAGCTCTCTTTCGTGAGTTTAAGCTAAGAGAGGCGATTCCCTTTCACATTTTAAGTCGGTCATGATTCCTTGAATGAATCCCCTTCGCAGGTTTGAGTCAAGTGATACTATTCAGGTGACTCCCCTTCGGGGAAAGCCAAGTGAAATACTATTTGGATGACTTCCCTTCACGGGAAAGCCATGTGATATATTCTTCAGATAACTCCCCTTCACGGGAAAGCCAGGTGAGATGTCCTTTGGATGACTCCCCTCATGGGAAAGCCAAGTGAGACAATCTTCTGGCTGGATATCCTCTATCGTGGGTTGAAATTGGCTTGAAGTTGATCTTCGAAAAGATTTGACTAGAAGGGGCTCTTTATCACTGAATAAAGCCAAATTATAGTCAATTCTGAATGTACTTCTGTGTCAAGTATCCTTTGCCGTAAAGTTGAAACTTGAATCTAAAGCTGGAAAAATTTTATATATATATATATATATATATATAATGATGATGAATATGATGCTTTTAGGTATGTAAAAATGTATTATTTTGTTTATTGTTTTATTTATTGGACAGAGTCTCATTCTTCATCCATTGACCTCGTCCTTGGAGTCAATCTTGCTGTAGTATTGACAGCTTCATGGAAAATATTTGATCTTTACATATTTTCTCACTCAATCTAGTGATCTTAATAATGATTCTAT